TGGTGGGGTCTGCTCTTTCCTTGTGTCCTTAGGGACAGTTAAATTGCCGGAATCTATCTGTAGTTGTTAGTTGTGGATGCCTTTACTAGAGAGTTCCTACGGATGTTCAAGAAAGGGTTGAGAGCTGTTAGGCCTGAAAGATTCCAGAAACTTGAGAAGCTGGCTCACCCCTTCCTATGGAGATTTCTATACGGATAAGGTTGCACTCAGAGGCTCATTCTCTCTTCAGCTCCACCATGGTATCTGGGATTCTACTTCAATCACTCCATCATCCTGCCAGCCATGTCTCATTTCTCATACTGGTACGTTCCCTCCTCCCAAGCTCAGCGTGAACCACCAGTCTTGATGCTTTATCTGGTCCAGGCTCTAGCCCTTAAATTGTCCATCTGGCTTTGTGTTTCATCTGACCCTAATACACTGGGTCGCGCTGTCTAAAAGAGAATTATGTCCCCTCCGATGTCTGAGTGCATTTCTCATTTCTTACTGCTGCTCCTGAGCAGATCTGTAACTTCAAGGTTAAGATAAGACACATTCCATCAGAACTATGTCGTCATCCTTGCCAGCTTCTGATCTGTGACTGTCCAGGAGATTTACAAGACAATTGCATGCCATTCTTTACAGAGTATTATGGTTGGACTCTGACTCCTGGCATCAGGCCCAATTTGATTTGTCAGCTGTTATAAAACCCATTTCCCAAAGAATAAGGGACCTCAGCCGTGTGCCCTTTAGGCAGTTCTTAAGAGTAGGAAGAAGGGAATTGATTTTGCTCTTTCTTCCCTGAATAGGGTTTTAGGAAGAGAGGTGAACTCCAGAATGTTTTTGTTCCTTTCTTCCTTAAATTCACTTTTTTTTTTTTTAATCGAAAGTCAGTGTCATTAAAGTGTTAGTGTTGCTCTCATTATTTCCTGTCCTTTATCTCTTCACAGCCATCTCCAATGCCTTCCTGAATTTTAAGGCATTTGAGTAAGTATTTTACCCTTAAGAGAGAACGGACCTGCCTATTCTCTGAAGGTTTATTAGTTTACCATTACATAATTAACAAAGACACTCTTCTTTCTTGCTGTCTGCTAACATGTTGAGGTGCGGGAGTTACTGCATGTAATATGGTTTAATGGCTTAGGAATTTGGAAGGTCACATTTCCTGCCGTTGTATTCGGCCCTATAATATTTTTACAAAAGCTTCTCTTTAGGGGATTGAACAGCTCTGGTTTCAACATAAACTCACTTTTTCCCTAGGAGGTAGGCAGTGGGGATTTATTTGGCCCATTTTAGTGATTCCGGAGTTAGATCTAAAATTTATTTACTCAGGATCACACATGGCAAGTTAATCACAGAATCAGAACCTTGATCAAATTCCTTTGGCATTATTTCCATATCCCAGTTAAACAAAAAATTTTAACTTTCATGGTCGAAAGTCTTTAAAAACAGGGTTTATTTGGCCATTACTAGCAGAAAAGAGACTGATCTTGACTTATGGGGTTTAAACCACCAGCATCATGGCTGGATAGGAAAGAAAACATGTTCATTGTTCAGGAATTTTACAAACGTTTTTATTCATCAGGTGGGGGGTTGGTGGAGAAAGATGTAAACTGTTCTGAAAGTATTTACATTAGCTATAGACAAAGGGGATGGGAGTAGGTGAAATGGGTCTAGATCTGGGATGGGCACAGCGGAGCCCGAAAGGAAGTGTCTGCCCATGTGGATTAACTGTGGGCAGCAGATTGGAAAATTCATATGTAAATAAGAAAGGAGGCTCCTGGGATTCAATAGCACCTGGCTCTTCTCTCTTTTGGATAATCTCAAAAATAGCCACCTGGAAATTTATCCTAAATTCCAGCAGATACATAGAAAATATGCGCAGTCTTTTGTCAGAGCTGGTCCACAGCTATTAACAAGTTAACTTCTGTCTCTCTGGCTGCTGTAATTTTAATTTAGAACATCTCAGATTTTTTTTTCTTGTCATCCCTTAACTATGAAAAGTTAAAATTAGGAAAAGTCAAAAAAAGTCATTTTTTACTTAGAGATTTCCTGATGGGACCATTCAAAGTTGAAGAAATTCTCTGTAGTTGAAAACTGTCTTACTTTGCTCTCGTATCCTATAATTTCTTCTGTGTGATAACCAAAATAATCACCAGTTCTCTGCCGATTCCTCAGTTGGGTTGCTTTTGATTGTCCCTTTTTCTTACTCTCAGATGGCTGCCACCTCTGGCTTTAAAGACACATGTCTAAAGCAGAGCAGGGTTTTGGATCTCTCAAAAATGTTCTTTAGGGCCAGGAAAAATGAAAATTTGTGGGACCACAAGTCTCTTAAATATCTTTCTTTATCTCAGTCCTCCTTTTCTCAAGTATTAGAGATTATTGATATACGGAATTTTATATTGTTTCCGATGGGTAGTAATTTAAAATTTGTTTCATAACATTACAAGAACAACTAATGAGGTAATTTTAATAGTAATGGTTGTGGCTGGACTGATCTCCTCTCCCTTTTTTTAAAAACTACCTAAGGATTAGATATTTTTTCCTATCGAACCTCTAGTTGAGAGGTTCTTTAGTAGTGCTTCAAGGCTCTAGATTCTCTTTATCTAGTAATTGCCCTAGGAAGGAAAGTTGTACAGTATCTTTGAAATACTTCCCTTCCCCCTTTCCTGTTAGTCTCCCCCTACCCACCAAAAAAATTTTTTTTTAATTGACTGTTCAGTGACAGATGGTAGAAGAGGCCTTGTCTAAAGTGCTTCTGGTGGGCTGGTTTAGGGGGTGGGTGGTTTGCTCTAATCCTCCTGTAGAAGGAACTAGCCTTTCCCCTCCCCCTTCCAGTTGAGCTATAATCTTGTTAGATGGTCTTAAAATGGTATTGATTAATTCCCAGTGCATTTAGAGGAATAAGCACAAGTTTGGGATTTAAAACTCAAGAACCTATTCCCTTGAACTCTGAATGTCTTAGCCTGGAGGCCAAGGGAGGTACCTTCCAACTTCTCCACCCAAGTCTTCACTGAAAAGGAAAGTTAAGGCTTTTAACTTTTCAGTTTGCCTCTCCCACTGTTAGTCTAGTACTGCTGCCAGTTGCCATGGCAACGGACTGGGACAGCTGCGCAGTGGCGCCCAGGCAGCTGGGTGGGGGCGGGGGAGCTGCCAGCCCGCCAAGCCCCAGACCTGGGAGGGGAGGCCCCTCCTGTTAGCCCAGAGGGAAAGAAAGAACTGGGGCGATCCGGTAGGTAAAAGAGGGAACCCCCATTTATCATCTCCCTTTGGGGCGCCTCTTCTGCATGAAGGTATAAAGGGAGATTTTCCTCTTCTCCCACAAACTGAAGAACACATATGTAAATCCTTGTTTTTCCTCGTGAGGCAGGGGAGGCCATAGCCACAATGCTTAACTGCATGCATCTAACCCGGGGCTGGTTTTAACCCCAGCGCTCTGACCTAAACTGCTCAGCTCCCGGAAATTCCAAGGTGAGTGGGGGTGGGGTGGGGTACTCTCCCTGGGACATGACATTTCCTGTCTCTGGTGAGGTCAGAGACTTTATTTTAAATAAATCAGATTTTTTTTTTTTCTTGAGGCTTAGGACTGTTCTAAATTCATGGAAAAATTATTTTGAAACCCCTTAGCTACATTTCTCCTGCCTACCTCCTCTTCCGAAAAAGTATTTTAATGAAAAACTTAGTTTTATTACAGGGTAGTGATGGGTACAGACAGGTTTTTGGTGGGCAGACCGATTGCTAGTAAGTTCTGGAAATATGATTTCCAACTATATATTCTTGGAATAATTTCTTAAATTTTGCTAATTTGAAGTAAATTGATAAATGCAACTCTTTATGCTACTTGACTTGAATAAAATTCTGAGATTAGCAATGGCCTTACCTAATCCTGGCAGTGGTCTTCTGGTCAAGGTGGAAAGATTTTTAGAGAGTGCTGAAAAAAATCTTTAAAATTTCAGCAAAATAAATATGGAATTCAGCTAAGAAAACAATCCTTGCTACTCTGTAATCCAGAATGTAGGCACCATTTAACATGGTTAAGGAAGAATTCTTTAAAATGATTATGATAACAACCTGGGAATGAAAAAAACTAGATTCTCTTTGAGTACCCTCTGGTCGTGCATATTTCTGAGCTTAACTCAATTTCCATTTGTGCAGCTTTGCTTCAACTTTCCTTGGGCCTATGAATGGCTCCTCTGTGTTTTGAGGCTTCTTGTTGATGTGAGTCTGGGGCCAGACTTCTTTTTCCTCCTCCTCTTCCTTTGGCCCAAAGTCAACTCCAGTTAAGAGGAGAGGGTACCTCCTTAACTGTTTGGAATTGTTGAGCCTTAAGAATTACTCAATGATCCAATGACTAATTTTGACTTCTTAGGACTGAAATTTTTTTTTCTTGCCTGCTTCCCTTGCATCCCCAAATGTAAAAGGAAGCTTAGTGTATTTGAGATGTCAGCCCTGCTTTGGTGAACTGATGGATGCTCTGAAGAGACAAGCTCAATTTGCTTTAAGAGAAATGTTCTGAGTTACTGAAAATGTGAAAGTTGCTCGAGCAGGCATTTTTTTTTGTGCTGCTAAGAGACCAACTAGTCAAGATGCTCAGAGCAGACAAAGTTACATTTTGGTGGCTTTTCCTTTTCATTTTTATAAAGAAACTTACTCACCTTGATGAGAGGGAAGGTTTTACTTCTATCACAATTCTTTTAACTTCAAGTTTTCCACCTTTTTCTTTGAGTTGCTAGCTTGTAAATAGTTATAGAAGTTGCCAGGAGTAACATACACTACTTGTCTTTTGAAATCTGAAATTAGAGGAGTTAGACAGTTGGGCCATCCAATTATGATCTTGTTAGTTGAAGGTAAATTAAATTCTTAGGATTCATCTGTAGAATTTTTTTAAATTAAATTCTTAGGATTCATCTGTAGAATTCTTCAAGACTCTAGAGAAAGGTACATGGCAGCTTTATGTTTTACCCTCTGCATCTCATCAAGAATCTTCACATGGATTCTGAACAATTTATCTTTCACATTTGCAGGAACCCAGTGGCCTTAGACCTTCAGGTGGAACAGCGTACGACATGGGAAAGAAAACCAAGCGGACAGCTGACAGTTCTTCTTCTGAGGATGAGGAGGAGTACGTCGTGGAGAAGGTGCTAGATAGGCGTGTGGTTAAGGGGCAAGTGGAATATCTACTGAAGTGGAAAGGCTTTTCTGAGTAAGTGCCTTCTCTTAGGCTTTAGGACTGCAGAGGTAGACACCTTTGGTTTACTTCCCCAAGAACCACCACCATCTTTGTCCTTTTTTTTCCCCACCTGCACTCCTTTCCTAAGACTCAGAAGACACAACAATAAACTAAATAAAGCCTCCCCCTTCTTAGAGTGGTGTTCTAATGATAATGATTTTGAGAGGCAGTATAATAAACTGGTTAGCATAGACTTGGGAGCCAGATTGCCTGGGTCCAGATTCTTGCACCACCACTTATGATAGTGATTTCAGTTAAGTTCTTAATCTTCTTTCCTCAGTAAAATAGGAATAAGAAATAATACTTGTCATAGAGATATTTGGTAGATACACAGAGCCTGACACATAAGCTTTGTGTAAGTATAAACTGTTACTATTCTTTTGGATATAACTAAGCTAAAATAATATGCATTGAAGAATAACTAACCCCACAGCCCATAGCTTTCCACAGTTATCCTTGGATCTCAGAACTGTCCTAAGATGAAACACCTTAATAAGAGACTTAAATCTGAGGCCACAGTCCCCCGCCACATATTTATATTTGAAAATTTCAAATATACAGCTGAGACAAAAGAAAACTATCCACTCAGATACATACCACCTACTTTCTGCAATTAACCTTTTAATATAACCGATCCATCTATTCCTTTATTCATCAATCTTTTTTTTTTTTTTTAAAAAGAAACTTTAAGTCAGTGGTCTTTAAGAATCATACTGAAGTATTGACTAGAAAGGTAGTAACTGGCTTTATGCTGAAGTGCTAAAGTATATTATTCTTTCCTTGGGAATAAATGAGACTAGACACGTATCGAAGCATAGAAGAAGAAGTAGCTTGAAAAGTGAAATACACGAAGCTATGTTAATCATTAGGCATTTTGCCTCAATTGCTGGTTAATTCTCTTCTCAGGATGCCTAATAACAAAGAATAGATTTCTCAGAACCCCAATGAACTGATAGGAACTGGTTTAGAACTCCTTAGGGTGGTGCTGTCCAGTAGAAATAGAATGTAGGCCACACATGCAATTAAAATTTTTTTGGTGGCCATATTAAAGTGAAATTAATTTTAATATTTAACACAATATACCAAAATGCTATTTCAACATTAATTTAAAAATTGTTGAGATATTTTATATTATTTTTTCATGTTATATCTTCAAAATCTGATGTATATTTTATATTTTATAACACATCTTAGTTCAGACTAGTCACATTTCAAGTGCTCAATAGCCACATGTGGCTAGTAGCTACCATGTTGAACATCACAGCTTTAAAGCATAGGACTTAAGTATAATAAAAGATTTAGTGTTTTGACAGTACCTTTAGACAACGGTATGAATCAGGAGCCTTTGGAACGTACTTAAGGTTATTTCATTACGTGAATCAATGTGGTGGGTAACAGCAATCAGAAGATGCCCTCCATATTTTTAAAGAGGATCAGTGTCATTACATACTCTAGAGATGAGAAAAATATGAATTTGAGAGACCTAGAGCACCATGAAGTAGGAATTAACATAATACCTAAAGATTTTAAGGGTGTTTGTTTACTAGGTCCATTGAATCACCACTGGAAATTCTTGGGCATATTGAAGGTACTTGAAACTATATGTGTAGTTTAGGTACTGGTACCTTGCAGAGATAAAAGAGGGAAAGACAAAGTTTGAGGTAAATTAAGTTTTGGTCCTTTGTCAGAAATGCCCAGGATTTCAAGCAAATTTTGCTGCTTCAGCATTGTCTACAACTAAATACCTAATGTTTGCTAGGCAGTGATCAGATTCTTCCTCATGTGTTGTCTTTAATTCTCATTACAGCTTATAGAGGTATTTTCAGTTTACAGATGAGGAAATTAGTGAAGTTATTTGCCGAAGATAACTGATACATGCTGGAACAAGGATCCAATATCAGATTTCTTTGGCCCTAAAGCCCAGACTCTTTCAAAAATTTCGCCCATGCTGTCTTTTGGGTGAAAATTGGTTAATGTAGAAATAGCAATACCAATATGGTAGGAAAAGGGATAATCCCATTATAGGACTGCCTTTCCTTGGTATCAACAGAGACTCTCCTCTACCCCCATGTCTAGTTGCTTATGTTATAGTGTTGGCACGCCTCTTGATTTTGGTGCCTTAATTTCTTCCGGGATAGTAAACTATGGTCTGTGGATTTGAGGGAAAGATTACTGTATGTGGATTTATTTATTTATTTATGCTTAAAGAATTGCTGTGAAGGAGAAGCTTTTCTAGTTTTAGATGAAATGATTTGAAAATAAATTATCTCATTCTTAAGCTCCTTTTGCAGAAAGTTATTTCAGTCTTGAGTAAATATATCATCATTCTGCTTATTTCAGTCAAGTTATGGCATGTGTTCAAACCATTTCTATCTAAAATTACTTTATTTAAAAAACAATATCTGAAATGAATAGTGCATTCATTAAAAATTTTCCCCCCAAGTCAATAAAGGTATTGTAGAAACTGCTTTTATGATATATTTACAGATTTATCTTAATATCAAATAGTCCTCATCATATAACCAAAAGGACCTGCCATTGGTTAGTAGGGAAGAGGATGCCTGGTTTAGTTTTTTCTGTGCCGGCACATTTTTTTCCTTTGATTTTGTAAGCTTTTGATGGAGTTGGGGGTTTGGTTTTCTAAAACCCATGTCAAAAATACAGAGAACAGCTTTATGAATACTATTTGTTTTCCTCATAATAGGACTCCCTTGATCCAAGTTTAATTAGACCTCATTATTTAGTTTGGGTGTTTTGTTTTGTTTTGTTTTGTTTTTGCTTATTAATATAACAATGTATTTTGACTACCTAGTGACAGTAGACTTGAATCCAGACTGTTGAATTAATATACTTCAAATCCCACTTTTGAGTCTTATGGTTTGTCTATATTTTAATGATTTAAGCCCTTTATTGCCTTTTTTCGGAATAACTATTTCCAATCCTCCAGTAATTTGTTGACATATCTTCAAAACATAAATAACATTTAAGACAGTGTAAACTGGGGGTGCATGATTTTTTAGTGTCCTCACAATTTGCATAGATGATTATATACATGAAATCACATTTTGCTACTTTTATAAAACCATTTATATTTGAATTTTTAACAGCTTTATTGAGATATAATTTAACAGTCCGTAAAAACCATTCATTGAAAGTGTACAATTCAGTGATTTTAGTAAATTTATAGAGATGTGCAACCATCTCCAGTTTTAGAACATTTCTGTAACCTCCCCCACATTCCGTTGAGCCCATATGTAGTTAATACCAAGACCCAGCACTAGCACCAGGGAACTACTGATCTGCTTGCTGACTCTAAATTGTCTTTTTTAAACATTTCATGTAAATGGAATCAGACATATAGTTTTTTGCCTCTGGTTTCTCTTAGCATAATGTTTTTGAGGTTCTTCCATGTTTAGCGTGTGTTAATTAGTATTGTGTTCCTTTTTGTTGCTGAATAATAGTCTGTTGTATGGATATACCACATTTTGTTTATCTCATTCATGAGTTCATAGACATTTGAATTGTCTTCTGTCTTTTGGCTATTAAAATGTTGCTACAAGTAATTGTGTGCAAGCTTTTTATTGATATATATTTTTATTTTTCTTGGAGAGATTCCTAGGATCAGATTTACCTCCTTTAAGTGTAAGGGTTTTCTTTTTGCCTATTTGTCCTCTTTAAGGCATTGGATTTCCCCCCTCATTCTTTTCCTTTTTTCCTCTATTCTTTTTGCCCAGGGAGCACAATACTTGGGAACCTGAGAAAAATTTGGATTGCCCTGAGCTGATTTCTGAGTTCATGAAAAAGTATAAGAAGATGAAGGAGGGTGAAAATAACAAACCCAGGGAGAAGTCAGAAAGTAACAAGAGGAAATCCAGTTTCTCAAATAGTGCTGATGATATCAAATCAAAAAAAAAGAGAGAGGTAAGCTTCCTTTCCCCTTTTCCTATAAACTATTCATTTGCCTACCACTCCTAAAAAAACCTTATTTTGTTTATTTCTGTTCTGAGGATGGCGTGCAAGGTAAAATTGTTGAACAAAAGAGCTTTAGGGGAGGTATGTTGGTTAACTACAGCGCCCCCTCCTGGCCATATGAGAAACGTAATATGTCTATACTGAATTGTATTAAGGTGGCAGAATTAAATCCCTGTAAAACACTCAGCCACTCTGTCTTCTCCTTAGAAAAGGGCTAAGCTATCTTAGAGAAGAAGGATCTTTAGTGAATTTTTTAAGCATAGAAGAGGGCTTTAAAATGTTTACCATTTCTCTTCCTTTCTTTTGTTCCAAAGATAGCCCTTATTTTCAAACCTTTACATTTTCTTTTTTTCATTGAGGTGAATGAAATTCACGTAACATACAATTAACCATTTTAAAGTACCATTTTAAAGTGTACAGTTAGTTCAATAATGTATATATTTTTTTATCTTATTTATTTTCATCTTATTTCTGTGAACACATAAGAAATTTTATCTTCCTTTTGAATCTTTTATTGTTCAGTTTAGAAAGTTTATGAAATTTTGGTTTGGTTTGATTTGGTTGTTTTAGTCTTTCTGATCTTTAGGTCTGAAGTAACTAGCAAAAGCACTGTTATAGCCTCTTTTTTCATCTATATCTTTTCTGTCTGTGCACACACATTACACACCCTCCCCCCCCCAGCTTCCACTTCTTCCATTTATTTCAAGGTTGTGAAGCCTTTTGTGGTGAAGGATGTTTCATACTCTTAAAATTTAATAAAATAAAAGCATAAGTCTGCTTCTGAATCATCTAGCATCACTGTCATAAGCATCTCTATTTATCTTCATTCTACTTGGATATCAGTCTTTCTAGAGCATTAATTCTCTGCTCTGGCAGCACATTAGAATCATGGGTGGGGTGGGGTGGGCTTTAAAAACCTCCAGTACCCAGAATGCACCCCAGACCAGTTAAATTCAAATTTCTGTGGGTTGGACCTAGGCATCAGTATTTTATAAAGACTTACACAAGTGATTCCTGGTCTCCATAGGAGAGAAAATGGGAGACCAGCTTTACAAAAAGGATTAAAATAAGAGTGAAAGATTGGAGGCAAGTGAAAATGGACTCTGGGTTTGTGTCTGTCTCTTATTTCCCTCATTAATTTTATTTTTTGCAATCTTATTTTTAAAACTGCCCTGTTCTGGTGAGGTGTGTGTATCATTATGATAAACTACTGATAAAGAATTTGAGAATACCTTCCCTTCTCTAAGGAGCTAAGACTTGGTTGGTTCTTTTTCTTTTTAAAATTTATTGAGGTAATGTTGGTTAATAACATATAAGTTTCAGGTATACAATTTTATAATACATCATCTTTTTTCTTTATTAGTCCTTTGTATTCTGGCTTTTGTCATTTGATTAATTCTCTCGCTGAGTAAAGAGACTGCAAAACAACATAGCATAAGACTTCTGACTAGCCATATATATAGTATTTCCTTAACTTAAGGTTTCTGTCCTTTTAAAAAGAAGCTGTCTGGCTTAGACCCACTGCCCATTGCAGAGAGTTTTGTTCCTAGGCCGGGTTCTGGTGCTACTGACCTTGAAAACAACTCCACATGTCTCTTACATTGTAATGTTCATTTGGGGCCCCTGACAGCATTCTCAGCCGTCCTGGTGGCTGTCAGGTAGGCAACTGGGAAGATAGGTGTTTGTATGTTTTAAAGGTTCAGAGGGGGATTGCGTTTCTTTCTTTAGACCACTGCAAAAGAAATTTGTTAGTTGGCATTATGCCTGATTTAAGATTACTGCCTGTGTGATGATTTTAGCATTTTCCTTGCCTTGGTTCCTTTTCAGCAGCTTGAACATTTTTCTTCCCTTCCCTCCTTATGTGGCAAACTGTTTTCAGCCGTCAGCTATGATTTACGACTCAGTTCATGCGCCAGCATTCCAGCTGTGAGCAGCTGTGTGCACATCTGGGAATCTCTTCCCCCTAAGCGCCCCCAAAAGAGGCTATGTTTTTTAGTATCTCCCCTGATTTGTGCATGGAATTTCCTTCCCAGTGTGGGTTCTGGTATCTTTGGGGACCACCTGGACCCTGAATGTTTGTATCTTTCAGAAGAAAGCAAGGTGAGTGTTAAAGAGATTTTATTAAGAAAATCCGACATCAGAGATGAGTTCATTTGGGCAGTCTTTTAAAGTCTTTTTTTTTTGTCTTGCCGCTAGATAAGCTTGCATTATCTTTCATAATAAGGTTTTTTAAATTATCTGGTTTCTCTAAATTTTTGCCGTTTTATTCTCACCAGTGCCATCGGACCTTGGTGGCACCTGAGTCGGACCTTGTGCCCCTTGTCTAGATTGCATGATTGCATTCTTACCAAATTTGAATAACCACCCAGAGAATTATCAGTTTGTTTTAAATCACTGTCTAGTTCTGCTCTCTAATGCTAATGACTCATCCACATCAAAAAGGAGCGGACCTGGGCCTCTTCTCCAAGTGTGTGGATATTGCACTTACGTGAGCTCTGAAAGAAACGTTATTTTATGGTACTTCTTAAATCATTTTATCTCTGTTCTTTCATAAATGTAGATGACTATGAAAAGAAGTGTTAAAAATACTGGTCAGTGTTATTAAATTAGAAGTTTAAAAATTAAGATCAAGAGGTATATATTTATAAAAAAGTTTATAAAATGAAAAAGGGTTTAGTTTGGGTAAACATGGACTTGTTTATCATCTCAGAAGCAATTTAGGAGTAGTCAATTTATATATTAAGGAGATTGGATTAGAGGAATTCTCAGATGATGACTCCAGAATATTTTAAGGGATATTAAAGGATTCTAAGGGCCACTACTTATCCTTTGAAGAAATACTGGACAGATAGGTGTGTCTCCTTGCAAAAATATCTTTTGTCATTACTGTCACTGGGTGACCCAGTATTGTATTTCTTAAGTTTTAAGAATCTTATGAATTGGTGACAAAAATAGTTATCAGGTGATATTAACTTAGGTTATGCTTTGTTGAACTGAGTAACAGGGAGGTTTTTTACTCTTTCTCCAAGTAGTAACCTTTCTTCATCTTCTATTTATAGCAGAGCAATGACATCGCTCGGGGCTTTGAGAGAGGACTGGAACCAGAAAAGATCATTGGGGCGACAGATTCTTGTGGCGATTTAATGTTCCTAATGAAATGGTGAGAGAGAATGAGTCTCACTCTACAATCGTGGGTTTTTTTGTCAGTGACTTGAATTTGTATGGAGGAAGGGGAGGGAAGACTGATTATTCCCCAACCAAAAATTTCGATTGTCAAAGATCTTTAACTGACACCAACTATCAGTATTAAATGGGAATTATGGTTTGGAATGAATTCAAGACCTTCTCAAGCTTTGGTATTAAGCCAAATTATATTATATTAGCCTACATATTAGAAAAAAGGTATATTTGAGGTAGGAAACATATAAACATGACCTAACCATTTTTTTTACATGGTTCTGAATCATTTACCATCAAGACTATGAGCCTGTGGCCACAGGACAGGAGTTGAGTAAGCCTTTCAGCCATGTCCGAGGAGTGAGACCACTGAATAATGTCTAAAAGAGAAAAATAATCTCAACAGAAAGCATTAAGAATAATGCTGTCCAAAGCACAACTTATTTCATCCGGCAGAGGGAATGGCTCTTAGAGGAAAGTATAGTTACTTCCCCTCAATTTGGTTTCTGAAAGACAGGGTGATTTATGGTGTGGCCCTCACTACCTCTCAGTTTCCAAGTGTTCTGGGCTTGTGATTTAGGTTTGGTCTCTAAATAGAGAGTTCATGCTACTGTACCACTAAGGAAGTTAATTGCCTTAAAAGTTGTATAAACAAAAGGTTTAATGTTTTATTTGATCGAAATTTGGCTGGTAAGTTACCCAGAAACCTATTTTTAAAGAATCACTATACTCTTTCACAAGTAAAGAGCTATATTGACTGCTTTTCCCACTCAGCCATATGTGTTACTTATGATTTACAGTCACATATTAACTAGCTTTTTCTACCATAGTCCAAATTTGAGTATCTGTTCTGTCTGTTGTCCCCCTTCTCTCACCCATAATCCTTACTGTTATGAATTATGGATCTCAGTTTTCTAGAAAAGGAGGTAGTTGTCTTTGCTCACATCTCAGTGGAATTTTAATTTAAAATTTTTTTTTATTGATTTGGAATCCTGGTTAAGGAACTTAACTGGATTTTTTGTTACACATGGTAGTCTAGCCTGTGTAACTTGTATAATAGAAATTTGCAGCTTATTCTTACGTTTCATTTTAGTGCTAGATTTAAAATTCGTCCTTATTCTCTCTTTTATAAGTACTGTTTCTGACTTAAATTTCTGTTTTCTTATTGTTCCAATCCATAGTTCTGACTATAAGGATAATGAATGTTTAAAAGGCCATAAGATGAGGGAGGGTTAGGACGCTTTCGCTTAGATGATCCAGAAACTGGATTGTTCAATCCATGTGTAATCAATAGGGCTGAATGTAGGTTTAATTATGTGTTCATTCACATGTTCACACATACAAATAAAAATTATGGGAGCAGAATTTACGTAATTTAATTTTCAGCCTTTTGATTAAGCCTGCAATGTTTTCCATCTAAATTCTAACTGAAGATTTCCGTTTCTGTCTGGTGTAGTAGGTAAATGATATTCACTAATACAGTAGTCCCCCTCTTATCTGTGGCAGATACATTCTAAGATACTCCCCCTGCCTTCTTGCTTCAGTGGATGCCTGAAACCGAGGATAGTACTGAACCCTATATGTACTATGTATTTTTCTATACATACACACCTGTGATAAAGTTTAATTTATATATTAGGCACCATAAGAAATTAACAGTAGCAATAATAAAATAGAAGAGTAGACTATAATAGTTATATGAATGTGGTCTCTTCTCTCTCAAGATAGCTTATTGCATGTATAGCGTGGAGATGCTGGACAGCACGAAATTTCATTAAACGCTGTTCAGAATGGCACACAACTTAAAACTTAGAAATTGTTTATTTATGGAATTTTCCATGTAATATTTTTGGACTGCATTTGACCATGGGTAATAAACCGTAGAGAGCAAAACCACAGATAAGGGAGGATTACTATAATTTAATTCATTTATTTAAATTTCTTCTTGAAAATATTGAACTGGTAGGGTTCTTCTCATTTTGAAATCAGGATGGAAGAGGAAATGAAGTCCAGATAATGACAGAAAGCTATATTTGGACAGACTCTCTTATTTTCTCTTCTTTTAAGTCTCCTATTTTTTTTTCTCTCCAGGAAAGACACAGATGAAGCAGATCTGGTTCTTGCAAAAGAAGCTAATGTAAAATGTCCACAGATTGTGATAGCATTTTATGAAGAGAGACTGACGTGGCATGCATATCCTGAGGATGCGGAAAACAAAGAGAAAGAAACAGCAAAGAGCTAAAGGAAGGGGTGGTCTCTGTCATTTCTCTTTGTACATAATACATTCACCTCCCTGCCTCCTCTCCCTTCTACCTACCCTCTTCTATCCTGAACACATCCATAAAAAAATGTGCTTATCACTGTGCTCCACAGGAGAAATGTTGGTATTGGTTCTCTTGTAATATAACTGATGGTCTGATTCATGATAAGTGTCTCTCTGTGAAGACCAGGCATTTACATACAGTGTATAATCCCCATGATTTTTTCTTTACGCCATCTCTTCCTTTTGCTCCCCTGTGACCTCAAGATGAGTTTTAACTTTTTAATCACCTTAGAGTCTTGATCTTTTCAGGGTTGGTCACTTTTTAGATTGGGAGATTTTGTTACAATGATGATGAATTTTGGTTTCTTGCTTTGGTTCTTGGAACATGTCGATGATCAGCTAGCCTTTGTTTTGAGATGTTGGGATGGAAAAGATGTTGCCCATCTTTATAAAAAGCCAATAGCAACTGTCTACCTGTTGGGGCTTTCCCAACCTCATTCAGCTCTACCCAGGAGAATACAGGGTTCCTGGTGTGGTCTTCTGGGCCACCCTCTGTTGTTCATCCTCACCCATCCTCCCAGAATAGCTCTATCCTTTGTAGGACTTGAAATTTTACATTCGGATTTGTTAAGGCACTCCTTTTAGCCCCAGGACTTTTGGCCTTGTTTCTTAGCAATCCTTGATTTGGCTTCTGCAAGGTGGTGGTGTCTGTCATAAAATGGCAAGATTATTAACTGGAGATTTTTAGCTATTAGTACTTGAGGATGATGGGGTAGGGTACAATCGTCTTTATTATCACATATGATATATATGTATTCCTTCCATCCCTCACATTTGGACTATATATTTATGTAGGTGTGAGTGACTGCCTGGTGCTTGCTTGTGCCAAGGTGCTAGGCACCCTCCAACCCTGCCAACTTTTGTGGCCTCCCAAAGCATTCCTGTTAACCAAAGAGGCTTCAAACCTGACCCTCACTTCTCAGTGGACCCAAGTTTCCCCTCCTTGTTATTATTTTCAGTGGGGAATTCTTGGAGGGGAGCCATTGGCCACAATATCAATTTTAAATATTCATAGCGTCATAAATATCCTGCTTTGTTGACTCCTGGATTTGCCAAGAGTCCCCAAAGTATTAATGCTTTTCCTTTTTCCACCCTCAAACTTTTAGTTGTATCTTCTTTTTTAAAACACGTTTGCATGGAAGATTATCACCTCAGAAAGTGATAGGCCCTGGCATTAGTGTGTTGACAGAACCTCTCTCTCTACTCAGCAAAATATTTCCCTTTTGGCTTCCTCCTGTTTTGCCGTTATAGTGAGAGTTTATTTTTCTGATCATAACCTTTTGCCTTTGTCTCCGAAGAAATGCTCTACTTTTTGTTATCCTTTTTTTCTTTAGTTGAGTTGGGGGCGAGGGGCTAGGGAATCAAGACTAAAAGTAAGGAAATAGCAGGGTTTTGAGCATCCTTGTCCCAGCCCAAAGCTGAGGAATTAAGAATAAATGTTTGAAATAGCCTTAACTGTAGAGTTCACCAGCCATCAAGGTTGTTTTTGTTGCTTTGATTTTTAAAACATACAGCTGTCTGGCCAGGAGCATTCAGCCATTTCTAGATTATAATGAGGGGAATGGATAGATTGCTCTGGTCCACAGATGAGCCGAATAATATGCAAATCATACACCCATTCATAGCATTCGTTAACATTGCTTCCCTGCTCAGCTGCTGATTGAATTCTGTGTGCTTGTATAAATTATGTCAAAAATTATACTGCACAGTTGAGAAGACAGCTGTTGATGCAGTGACATGACAGACTGGAACAATGAAGATTTTGGTTTAAGTCATCCAAGAAAATCCTGAATGGTAATGTGATTAGGTGAGAACTCATAACCCATACCTCAAGTGGGTAGGAGTTTTATCTTCATCTTCCTTTACTCTCTGAAGGAATTAAGGGCCTAGATCAAGTGTTAGATAATTGACAATTGTTAATACTAATCTTAAGGGCATCTAAAAGATAGGATGGTCAGGAAATAGATTTGTCATATAGGTAACTAAGAATATCAATTAGGGCAGACAAGGATAGGACAAAAGTAGGCTAGAGCACCTGAGGAGGTGATCTGGGTTTTAATTTGCAGGTGAAGAAAATGATAGCTTATCTATGTAGCTAGTGTTTCTCCCAAGAATAGTGGGTGTATAAACTACAAAATCTAGTATATGGACAAACAATTATTTTGTACTGAGATTGATCCTGAGAAACCTGGGACATGGTTGCTAGGGTTATAGGTAATATTTAAGACATTCATCAAAATCTTATTTTCTTTCAACACAATAACCCCAGTATTATCTATTTATAACCCCTTTAATACGTTACTCTTCACTCCATTCATCTTTTTCTGTCCACAGTTTATTGAATCATGGTCTTGTACTGAGTGCCGCCGAAACAACTTTTGTTCTTTCCTTGCTTTTGCACAGCTGCTTCTCTAAGAATGTAGGGAGCCAAAAACCAATACAGATTTCAGCCTTTAGCAGAAAGGAAGCCAGATGCCTGCCTGTGCCTCCAGCATTTGTTAATGCTGAATAGCTGTCCTGGCCCTTGGAGAATTGTAGCCTCAGACAAACTTGTTTTCATGTGGTTTTCTCAGAAGTTAGTAGCCATGGGCTAAGCACCCTCAAACATCTAGATCTCAGGTGCTCAGTATGTTTTCCCTGTAGTCCTTTCAAAACATTTTTCTTCTGATGAAATTTTTAGTAATCAGCATTCACGAATCTTCCTTTCACAGAATTTAGTAGAGCCTTGCCCGGCAGAGTCTACTCTGCCAAGGTCAGTATAGCTGCTTTTCCAAGCCCCGTGCTGGGCTGATGCCCTCACATTAGGATCAGCTGTTAGGAACATCAGCCCTGATGGAAGCGCCCATTTTTAACCTGGAGGGAGCCCTATCATTTTTCTTCTGGCAATACAGTTTTTGTCTGCTCAAGGGAGCATTTGGACCTGTCGTGCTCCTTAACAGTCAAGAGTCTAGATGGTTCTTGGTTGTCCCCTAGCCATATCTTTGTGCTGCTTTTTGTTGTTAGAAGGTTGATCCTGTTCCCATAGCTTGGGCAGTTATTATTAATTCCTAATTCCTCTTCTGGAGACACCCTGCTGTTCATTTACCTTATATTCAGATCAAATCATAGGGCATTGGGGTAGGTGCTTGGGATTTTCATCTTGTGATTTTGTTGCATCTATGTTTAGGCCAGCTCACCTAAAGTACAAAGGGATCTGTGTTTGGGTTGTGGAGTGATTGCCTTTGCCTTTCGGGTTTGAATTCAAAGGCCTAAAATACTATTTTGCAGTGACATGGGAACCCCAGGAAGGATTCTGTCATTAGATTTGAAATGTGGAAATTGTTTCTCACAAAATTAGCTCAACGAAAAAGCTTATTTTGTACCCATGACTCAATCCTTTTGGTTTAGATTTTTAGAGCTGAGGTCTGTACCTTTGGATGTACCACCTACCACTAAGCAATAGTACATGTAGCAAGGTGGAGAGAGGAAAGGTCTGGACCCACTGTATTCCAGTTTCATGTTGGCTTTACCACTAATGATAAAAGTTATGTTTCAAAAATGGAGATATTACCAGCCTTGTACCAAGAGCATACATAGCCTAAGAATTGGGTGCCCCCGCTCAATTAATGGTGGTCGATTTCTATTGAACTGTCCATATTCTAGCTACATTAGTGTTACATCAGCATTTATTCAACAAACATTTTTTTGGCCTACGGGATACAAAGTTCAAAAAGATGTAGCCCCTAAAGCAAAGAACTTTTATACTGGTGTGAGATAAACGGACTATTAATAGTTTAGTGTAAAAAATGCTTTAAATGGATACACATTTCTGATTTGGGGGCAGAGACAGACAACTGGCTGTTATAATTTGTGGCCCTAAAGTAGGAGGGTAAAAATTGGTTCATATGTGGAAAAGACCTATGACCTTGGATAAGCTGAGCTAACTGGCTATAGATCACAAGGGCTTGTTTTATGCCAGAAAATAAAGATAACTGAAGGTTAGTTAGAAATGCTGCTATTACTGAGAGAACAGGTGAGTGGGGGTTGAGAACCCCAGATTTCGATCCCTGTTTTAGGCTCTCTGCCAAAGTATTTAACAGTATAGTTAATTTTTGCTTGTGGAAAGTATTAACTATATTGCAGATCCAGTTATGTGTTGTTACATTGTTATGGGTTCTGTAACATTCCTCATGGACATTTTATCAGAGTTACTCACACCTTTTTTGGTTCCTTATCCCTTTTGAAGGAATTAATGTGAGGCTGGCTTTAAGCCTAAAACAGGGACATATTTTGCAATGACAGATTTGCTAAAAAGGCAGCTTGGGGCACATCTGTTAACACCCGGGCATTTATTCTGGGCAGTGTAGTTTTATTCAACACTGCAGGATAGTGATTTCTAAGCAGAGACTTGTGTCAGTTATGTGGAAACCCTCCCAAAAGTATATGTAACCCTGGGATTTTGGATTTAATCAATCTAGGGTGCGGCCTAGCCCTGTTATGAAACAGTTTAACCTAAGAAATTTCTTAGTTCTGGCCACAAGAAAAAGATACTTTTCTCTGCCTGGGTAATTGACGGTTGACTAGTGTTGAAAGTCAGAATTCCTAGGAATTAGAATAACTTCTGGAAAGTTAAAGTGTGAAGGTTCTTTGGATAGCTCATAAAAACAATTCTAGATTCTTGTTGCTTACGCTGGATTTCTTGAATTTTAAACTACCTCATCTTGTCTTTTTAGAGTTACTTCAGCTTGTCCTTGCCACTTACCATCATGCTTGACTTTGTTTTCTAAGATGGATTTTTTTCCTATTCATCGACAGCATGTTCTCTTGCCTTTTCATCCTGATCCTTATTTCACCTAACCTACTGTTCCTGTCAGAGAAAAGTTTTGAAATAGTTAAAAATCTTGGTTTATGGGAAGAAAGTGATCCTCCAATTGCTTTTTGTTGCTGAGATCGGTAAGAGAAGGAGTTAAAACAAGGTGGGGGAGGGTACATAACCTGCACTGGAGGCAGCCGACAAGGGAAGAGCCATTAATTAAGACAATTTCAAAGTCAACTGATTGTGATCATTAATGTCACAATAGATCAAAACCTAATTATCACAGTCTAGGTAAGAGCCATCAGTATTAATCAGAAAATCTAATAGGAAACTATTATCAAGAAATTAGGCCAAATTGAATGCAATGAACTTTTTGTCTTGCCATTCTGTATTTTTTGTGTGTGTGATGTCCCTTGGCATTGGCAGGTGTGACCCTCACAGTTGATCCAGGCCCCAGTGGCCTGTTTGTCACACTTTGAGGAATTCCAAACATGGACTGAACCTGAACTGTCATTGCCACTTTAATCAGTCTTGAACTTTATCATCATTTGGACTTGTTTGGTGTGATCAGCAATCAATGAAAAAAGGTTTATATTTAGGTCTTGGAGTAGTTGGTCCTTCCTGGAACAAGAGTATTCCTGGTAGACTACGTATGTGTGTGCCGATAGATCATTCTTTAGAGCTTCTGCTGTATGGAGAGCCTATTGCTCTGGCTACTGCGAGGGGATGTAGAGGAAAGGAGTGGCTTCCTGCCTGGAGATTCTTTGAGAGACCTGAGAAGATGGAGTTTAATCGTGTCACAGCACTTTTAAGGCTCAAGTCAATGTTTTGCAGTTTCTGGTAGCTGTAGTATTTGATTCTAAATCAGGGCTGGCTACGGATTTAGCTTTTCCCCCCTAGTTTTAGATTAAGGGTCATGATTTCTATGAGAATCCATTGTAAATCCAAAGGAGAGTGGGAGAGAGTTTTTTTGCCTTTTGTTGCGGGAGGAAAGACTATTACAAGAGTCTATGACTAGTTATAGGGAATGTGTTATCCCCTCTCCCTAAATTTAAAAATAGGGGTCACCATTTATATTCTTGATCTTGAGCTATTCATGAAGATGCCGCAACTCCTAAAGATGAGCTGAGGCAGAAAGGTTAGAGAGATGCTATCCTCTAGGAATTATGGGGAGGGACGAGTAGTGGTTGGTGGCGTTAGGGTTTCCGTGCCCCTTGCTTAGCCTGTAGAGGATGTTGCTGCTGCTGCCATCACCACTGTTGCTGGTCTTTCTTCCTCAGCCTTGCAGCTCAGAGCACTACCAAGATTACTACTGGGGAAACGAGTTCTTATCTTTCTGCTTGAATGTGGTCTTGCTTCATTTGGATTTTAGGAATTTGGGTTACTCAGTACAGAACTTCGAGAAATCAGTGTGAGTGTGACTTAATCCTTCACCTTAATATTTAAAATGTAATTTTGTTTTCAAAATACCCATTAATACAGTCTTTCTCCAAGGTTCCTTGCATTTTGCTAGATAAATAACGCTCAGTTAATACTTCTGGGTTGATTGAGTTCATCTAGTTTGCAGAGTTAGGTGTACTTACTGGCTTCCTTTTGCTCTGAAGTGCACTCTAAGAAGTAAAATGCTCTAGGGAGTGGAACAAGAATTGAGTGGATGCCGACTGTGTGCCAACCTCGTCAACTGATTCATAATGGCTGACCTTGGGCAAGTCACTCCTTTCAATGCCTCAGTTCCCCATCTGTCAAATGGGGGTAATAATACTGACCTACCTCACAGGGGTGTTGTGAGGCATTGTAAATCAAAGTTAATAAAATACTTAGGGTCCTCTTTGTAGGATGCCTTCAGCCGAAGTCTAGACCTGACATAGGCTTCAGTCCTCACTGAGCTGTCCCAAGGTTGGAACTACTTAGTGACCTTGGCACATTCTCTGCCCCCCACCCCGCATCAAAGCTGCTAGTTCAGATGTTGACAGTGTTTTTGTGAATGTTGGAGTCTTAATAGTCCAGATTTAGGATGTTTTGGGGGAAGGCACTTAGTATTTTCTGTGTTTTGCATCCACTATGGGAGGCTGTTTCAGACCCAAGAGCATTGGATTAAGGGAATCATGAGGCAGAGATACTACTGCCTGTTTCTCTCTGCAGGTTGGGGATTAAGGTCCCATCCCCCATGGGCTTGGGACAGACTCTGACTGCCTCAGGAGCAAAGCAGACACAGTGGGTTTGATTTATATCATTGCTTACCGCTCTCTGAACTAACCCCAGTACATCTGGGTCACTGCACCTCTTCGTGATATCTGTACCCAAGCCTCCACCTCCCCATAGGAACCAGCTGGTTCAATAAATGTAACCACTTTCTCCAGCCCCCTCCAAAAGAGAGCTACATTGAAAAATGTTTTTTTCTAGAGATACGATTGATACTCAGAATTGGGCATTGTTACTCTTTAAAGCTTCACCAATTCATTGCATTCACCGTCCTTCGTCTCCTTTTGTGTCCACAGTCTGAACCTGATTTTGACCTTTTCTTCTTCTGATTTGGGAAAACTTTGGACACTATTTCTATTTACCCAGGTGTGGGCTTGAGAGCCTTACTCTCCATCTCAGTTCAGGGGCTCAGCCAGCTCCTCTTCCCAATAGGGCTCTTTCTCCTTTCCCTCTCCTTGGCCCTAGATATGTAACCCATGAAAAAGCACAAGGTCCTGGCTCCTTGCTGCAGTCATGTTCTTGTTCTCTGTGGTTTGTGGACTCTGCTCCTCTTCACCCAGCACTGGTGGCACCAGGCGGTTCTGTGGAGTTCTGGAGGATGGAGAGCACAGTCTGACATCCTGCCAAGTAGCCAAGAGTTGACTCGCCCATGGCCCACCGCCCTTCCCACCCCTTCCCACAAGATGGGATCTAAGAGACTCAAGAGGCTGGGTTTCTCTCAGCAACGTGTACCATCCTGAGTAGCAAAACAAATCACGCTTTGTAGCCCGATTTCTGAATGAAAAAATGGGAAATTGAATTCTGTATGGACTTTTTGGTTTATGGGGGAGTTTTGGTTGTGTTTCTTGGTTTTATTTCAGCCAAACATGTCTGCTTTTGATTTAAAAATTTTTTTAGGATAAGTGATATATATATATATGTTTGCCTTTTAAATGTAAATGTTTAAAAGTAGGCAATTTATGTGTTTCCACAACTGACATCCAATGCAGACCTCATTCTCTCCCCCTCTTCCACCCTCCTCTTTTCCCTCTTTTCATACTCTTGTATTGGTTCTAATAAATGGTTGCTTTTCAAATACGGATCCTGAGTGGTGGTTTGGAGATATGAGTCTTAACCCTTCCTTTAACTTGAGTCCTGGGATGTCAGTCAGTCGTGACACATGCCTTTCTGAAAGAGCGGCGAGACATCCACAACAAGGGCTTTTTCTAACGATTACTGGTCTCTGACTTTCTGCAAATAGCCACAGGGTGGCGCAAACCTGAGGGAATAAGAACATGTATCCTGTTCCTTAAACTATTCTCGTAACCAGTTCACATCGTATGCCTTCCTGGTCCCCGTGCTTGTTTCTACTCCCAATGGCTCAGAGAATAAACATTACCCTTCGGCTTCTAGTTATTAGAATCTGTGGGAAATCACATTGACTGACGATCTAAATCAGGTTTGAAAATCTCAACGTATGTAAGTCTGTAAATAGAACTCTTATTATCTGCTTCACAATACCAAAGAGACTCTGAGGACCAGAGAGATGTGGGTCAGGAACACGGTTGAGGGGGTGGGCAAGTGGAGTTGGATTAGGAGGGAAAAGTTATATAAATAAGCAAATGTTTATTGGGTAATATAAGCGTGGTCCAATTCTGAATCTAATGGAGATGGGCAGAAACTGTCACAGAAGAGTGAAAAGTGAGAAAGAGGGGTCCCAGAACCAAGGCATCCTCCCACTGAGATGTGATGACTGAAGGCTGAGTTCTGTTTCCACCGTCTCCTATCTGCAATTCTCCCCTCTCGTTTTCCCCTCTTGCTGCTGAGTTATAGGGTCTCCCCAGTCTAATCTCACAGAGTCTTATGAAGACATCTGTAGGTTGGCTAGTTTAATGGTCCATGACCCCATAAACATGGGCCAGGAGAGCCATTTGGTCCACTTCAGAGCCAGACCCTCTGGACATTATTTATTTCCTAACTCTGAAGCCTGGAACTGCTTGCCGCCTTTCCTTTCGATCTCTTTCTAGTTCTCTCACCGTCATGCCACTTTGTCTCTGCCTAGGACCCATCAGATGACTCCAGGGTTTTGACACCTGCACTCCCACTCCTAAACAACTGTATCTTGGTTTTTCTTTCCAGTGTGTTGGAGGTCTGCCTGCATGGCACTCATTCAGATGAGCTCATCACCACTCATAACTCTTCTCCCTGGAATCTTGCCCCTCAGTGCACTGGAGAAGCACAGAGCCAGGCAGTTCTGCCGCCCCTTTTGTCTCCACTAAAGGGCTGCAGAGCCAGTGAAATCAATACGGCACTGACAGCCGGGGGAAATGGAGGGATGGATCACAGTGTGAGAATCTGTGCTGAGCTGGATCACTGAGCACAGCTGGGAATCACCCTGTTAGAGCAAGCAAACCCTGGGCAGCCACTGCCTTTGGAGGTGTGAGCTAGGGGTGAGAGAGAAGGCTGCTGCCCACGAGCATCTGCAGAGGGGAGTCCATGACAGCCTGTATACACACCAAGCTGCCTCCCAAGCCTTGAGCATGACCTGGAATGGGGGAGGGGGAGGTAGGCAAAAGCAGGGGCCAACTGGTATGTGTGAGCATACTGCACTGACGGTAGGGCTCCGTTATTCCTGCAGAGATGTAGGAAGAAATCAGAGATGAGTAAAACCTCATGAACTCAGCTACTTAAAGTCATGGACAAGCTGCAGGCATAGGAGGGCAAGGGTCTGGTCCTCTTCCTTGGATGCTCTGCCTTTGTTTTCTCATCTTCACTCTACTTTCCTGCTTCCCCCACTCTGCAGCTGTAACATCTTGCTTTCCAGGTGTCGGGTCCTTCTCAGCTTCTGTCTTTATTTGTGTGTCTGTATTTTTTATGGTTTCTCCCCTTTGTCTACTATATCGTGTGTTTTTCTCTTTCTTTGTCTTTTTTCTTCTCATTTCTGGTCTCTCCACCCCATGTTCTCTCCACCCCCTTGAAATCTCATAAGCAGCCTCAATTTGGATATTAAATTTCAACCCCATCAAATTATTATCTTTCTTGCAACAATCTGGGACTCTTTATGAGCTCTTTCTACCCCATGCCACCTCTGGAAACAGGTGCATCTCTTTCTGTGTATAATGTGATGCCCCCTCCCAAACGAGAGTGGGAGAGGCAGTGCCAGCTTAACAGCCTTGTGCCTCTTCTCAGCAAAGCCTTGTGTGATCATTTGGTAATGAGCCAGGGAGAGAGGAAGAGATGCTGAGAATTGAGTTTGCTGATAAACTGGGGAGCTGCTGAGATGAGAAGGTTGGGGGTTATTACTGCACCCTTTCCTTTTTCTCCCTCTTCCTGCTGCTGCTGTCTTCTGGGGAAGGAAGCTGTGGTATTGGCCATAGCCACTGCAGCTTATGAAATTCCGCTTCTACAACTCCAGCAAGGGTGGGGGTGGGATCAAGTAAGATCTGCAGCCAGGGGGGAAGGGCAAGTGAACCAAAACCCTTGTCTGCCTTGTCGGAATGGGAGGGCCATTCCTTCATGCTATTTCCAATACCCAGCAGCACCTCCCTATGCAACCTAGTTCCCCTGTACTTCCCTTCCCGCCACACACAATCACACTATAACCCTCTGCTGCTTTATGTTTCAGGGATTCCTGGCAGGAGCTAGGAGAGCCCAGCTCCCAGAGACCTGGGCCTGGCTGTGCTCCTTTGTCCTCTGTTACATACCCGCTTTTTCTAGTTTCTGCCTCACCATTCCAGTCATGTCTGCACATGGAGCTGAGAAGTAGAGGGGATGGAGCTGCCAGGATGCTTCCTGGAGAGAGCAGGGCTGGGGCTACTTCTCCTCTGGGACATGAGAACATCTTCAGCTTCTAGACCAGGACACAGGATGAGGATGAGTCTTCTCTCCATGTTTTCTTTGCCCTTCTTTTTGCTCGCCTCTCCCTTTTCCTTTTTGTTTATTATCTTTTCTATTACTGCTTTTCTCTTTCTGATCTTAGTTCCTCTTTGCTTTTCTTCCCTCTCCTTGTTTTTTTATTTTTTATTTTTTTATTTCCATGTTTTAGGAGTAGACAGCTAATACGAGGACTTGAGGGAAGGTGTTACAAGAGAAAGAAAAGTTCAGATTGTTTTTCCTCTTCCCCTCTGGAGATGTGGGGAATGAGAATATTGCCGTCTTTCTTTTCCTGGGGTTTGGAGCATCTCTTCATCCTCAGATCTACTGATTCTCTCAGTAGCGTTGTCCAAAACAAGGATTTTTATCCTTGAAAAACAGTTTCTGTTTTCGTTGGATTCTTCGTGATCTTGTATGTGAAAGAGACCCTTCCCATCCCCACAAAAACAAAATCAGTTCTCTGTGTAGTATTTTTCTGTTAAAAATGTTAAGATAATCACTTTTGAGAATTTTATAACCCTCCTTGAAATGACTGGAGTCATGTGGGGTGTTGTAACAAGACTGAAAATCACTATTCCTTAGTGTCTAGCTAAATCAATTAGATCCTTATTTCTGTCTGAATTTTTTGTTGCCTTTCTGCATGGGAATAAAAACTTCCCTCTGTGGCTCCATTCATCAACCTAAGGGATCATGGGCAGGTAGAAACCGTTTCTCTAATTTCCTCTGCTGTCCCTAAAAGACAGGCCCAACCTGCCTATAGAGGAATGTAGGAATGGTGATTGGCTATCTTATCCTCTCCGTTTACTCACCCCATGCTTCTTTCACTCAAAGCAGAGGAGGGTTTCTATTTTGAATTAAGGAGCTGGATCAGGAGTAGTTGGGGATGAAGTTGCAAACTTGGATAGAGGAGGTAAAAGAGAAAGGGAAGGAGGCACAAAGTCCCTGTGAAAAACTGGGAGACTGGAATGAAATGAAGATGAGAGATAAGAGTCTTGGAAAGAGAGGTGATGTGCGGCACGTGTGTCGCGGGGGGAGGTGAGGAGGGAATGGATGTGCACATTACAGTCACATGTGCCAAAACACAGATGGGAGGAATGTGGAAGCTCACAAAGGGGCCTGCAAGGCCCTCAGAGGCTGCATCCTCTTCCTCCAGGCAGAATGTCTTCTTCACCCAAACACAGATGGCTGGAACTTCACTTCTGAAGAGCTCTGGGCAATGAGTCAATTTAGCATTTACCCACATGTGTTCTGAAAACAGCCTTTGCTCTGGACTGGATCACTGCCCTGAAAATCTAAAAAATATTTTTGATTACTTCAGGAGGCCCCTGTGCATCCTGAATGACTTCGATTTTGTGGGGGGTGGAGGGCCTGGAATACTGATGTTTTCTTCCATTGGTCTCCAATCCTGCCTCAGGTGGTCTCAGGAAGAATATGAGAGGGAAGCATGTATAGGGGGAGAGATTGGAGGGTTGGCAGTACAGGTGTCTCATTGGATGTAGATAATGGTACCCTAATGCACATTAGAGATTTCTCAGAACTGAATAGCTATTGCTGTCTCCAAAGGAGAGGTAGGGCAAACAGCTCCCCATTTTCCCCCATCGAAATGGCTGGTCTGTGTATGAGAGTTGGAGGGATGTATGTTTTGTGCTCATTTAAATATATCCCATTGAGTCCAAGTTGAGTCACTCTAATGGAGGGGAAGCAATGGCCTACGTAATTCAAGGCAGCAGATAAACCCCAGATTATTTATGAATATGACCAAAAGGTGCTTTGGATTGCACTCAGGATGGACTTTGGAAGGTGCCCTGTGGCGTTCTGTGAGTCAAGAGGAAGAAGTCATTAATGGAGGCCAAGGAAAACTGCTCTTAGCTGTGTACCAAGACAGCCATACAGATCAGAAGCAGAAAATTACAGGAGATGTGTCTCTTCAGGTGGAAAGGCAGTGATGCCAGAGAGGGCCTCAGGGGCGGCATACTATTGGAAGGCCAAGGGCACAAAGAGTGACAGGATAAAGTGTGGATTGAGAGAGGTTAGGAAGCAATATAAGTTCACGATTGACCTTGCTCCAGAATTAGCCAAAGCACCAGCCCAAAACAACATGGCACTGGGGAAAAATCATTAGATGAGAATTCAAGTCATTCAGGTTGGCTATTCACAGGCTGTATGATATTGGATAAATTAATTTCTCCCCTTTGCTTATCAGTTTCCTGAGGGGACCTAGCTCTAA